GAGGGAGTGGTTAGCATGTTTACCTTGCAGTCTGATGGTCATGAGTGGCCCAAAAAGTTACTGTTTCTTCTTCTTCTTTGCGTTTGGTTTCGTATGCTCAGATCAGACCATCACGTGGGGTGAACTCGCAGCAGGTCCTTCGTGGCTCCCCATAGTTTGCGCTGCACATTTTGCTCTTCAGATCATGTGTCTTTTGAAATTGTATGTAGAGTGGGCAGGTCTGCAGAATGTGGTCAGGTGTTTGTGGTCCTGTTTGACAGGCACACTGTGGCGACTGTAGAATGTTTATTTTATGCATGTCGTAGTTGAGTATCCTGTTCGTAGACGGAAAATTGTTGTATGGTGCTTTCTTTTGAGCCTGCTGATGGGGTCTTGTGGGTGTTTACTGTTGGTTTGTTCTCTTTACAGTTCCTTGTTATAAGTGTTCTGATTACTAGTAATGACAATGAATGGTGGTGTTGTTGCACCTTTTCCACATTTTTTGCAAGTCTGTGTGCTAACTCACTTCCTGGTATGCCGCAGTGAGCCGGGATTCACCGGAGAACGATTTGATTGTTTTCTGAGAGTGTTTAGCTGGCGGGTCAGTTCTCTCTGCATGTTGTCTCGTGGATCCCTCTGAGACGCCTGAAGGACTGACATGCAGTCACAAAAGAAAACAGTTATGCTGTTTTTAATGTTTCTTTCCCTAAGCACTTTGGCTGAATCAATAATTGCTTGCTGCTCTGCTCTGAGGCTTGTTGAGAGTCTTCTGGAAGTCGCATGACGTTTCTACTGTGGTCCTATCTTGTAGCATGATGGCCGATCCAGCTCCCCCCTTTTTTTTCTGCACCCTCCAGTGATCCATCAGTGTATACGTGTGTCCATTCGGGTTTTGGATAACAGTTGTAGACATGTTCAAGGGTCTTTGCATGCAGTACTAGGTCACACTCTTCAGCCTTTCTGTCTATGCCTGGAATTTGATGTTGTGACTGTATATTTAGGCTGTAGGTCTATGCTGTATGCCTGGATAATTTCTCACACAGAAAGATCTTTAAAAAGGATGTGATTGTTTTTTGCGCATTACAGTTCTAATAGATGGGGAAAGCTTTGTCTTTTCAGTCAATTTTTAGTTAAGTTGTTTATTATTTTGTGCATGAGGTTGTTGTTCGTGCGTTATATTTGTCTGTTAGGGTAAGTACCGTTTCTTCCTTTCGAAGGCTCAAGCTCTGGAGGCCAGAAGTTGCCTCCAGCTCATTGATTGGTGTGTGCTTCTCATACCTCCAGTGATGATTCTGAGACCAATGTTTTGTATTTTGTCCAGTTTGTGTAGGTTTGAAAAAGTTACAAAAGCGGCAGGTTAAAAAAGAAAAAAAAGTTACAACACAGGTTGGTTTAAAAACAAAAGAGTTACCCCAAAAAAAAAAGCGTGTAAAAAAAAAAAACCACAACATAGCACAAATGCACATTCATATAATAGCGATTTATAAATGTGCAGTAAAGTCACTCTCTTTCTGGGACCGAAAGCGTGAGAGGAATGAAAGAGAGTTACAAAAGAAGCAGATTTAAAAAAAAAAATGTTACAAAGAGGCATGTTTTTTTTTAAGTTACAAAAGAGACAGATTTTTTAAAAAAAGTTACAAAAGAGGCAGGTTTCCCAAAAAAAACCACCTAACTTGTTCAGTGCAAAGCAGTTGTTCGTTTAATTCCAATTGCTCTTGTAAGTAAAAAAAAAAAGTAAAGGACCCTTTTCCACGCCTTTATGCGTATAGGGCATATAGGGCTAGACCTATATTTTCTAGACCAACGGCACAAGATGGGTGATGTGGTCAACATTACGCCGGCTGCCTTTACTTCCCGGGACTACACCCGGTACCCACTCAAGGCTGGGTCGACCTGGGAGCCAAGAAAAGTCCGGCTCCGCCAGGGAGCGAACGCATGACCTTCCGATCCGCGGCGCGCGTCTAGCCGCTCTGCCACGGCGACTTCCAATTGCTCTTGTAGCCAACATTAATGGGGAAAAAAAAAAGGGGGGGGGGGGTGCTGCTTTAGAAAACTGAGTTAATGTTTAAATATGGTGTAAAACAAAAAAAGGAGAAGTGGGTGCGGGGGCGGTAGTCGTAAACTAAGAGATGGCAATGGACACTCAGTGTAATAATTATATAATTGACGCCTATAAATAAAAAAATAACGGATTTATTGTCTTGAATGTTTTCAATGATATCAAATAAAAATCGGGACTGCTGCAGTTCCACTCTGCCCGTACACGTCCACCAGCTACAACAGATAGTTGTGTTCTTTCTAGAGATAACATTACAGATTTTCATAATCTATGTCAAGCGAACGCAAGAAGAAGAATTTAAAGTGGTCCGTGGACACATTGCTGATATATAAGGACTTCTGCATTTATACCCGTAGTTCTGGACTTCTGCATATTTACCCATATATCTGGACTTCTGCATAAATACCTATATATCTGGACTTCTGCATATTTACCCATATATCTGGACTTCTGCATAAATACCTATATATCTGGACTTCTGCATATTTACCCATATATCTGGACTTCTGCATAAATACCTATATATCTGGACTTCTGCATATTTACCCATATATCTGGACTTCTGCATAAATACCTATATATCTGGACTTCTGCATATATACATATATATCTGGACTTCTGCATATACATCCATATATCTGGACTTCTGCATATATACCCATATATTTGGACTTCTGCATATATACCTATAAATCTGGACTTCTGCATATATACCCATATATCTGGACTTCTGCATATATACCCATATATTTGGACTTCTGCATATATACCTATATATCTGGACTTCTGCATATATACCCATATATCTGGACTTCTGCATATATACTCATATATCTGGACTTCTGCATACATACCCATATATCTGGACTTCTGCATATATACCCATATATCTGGACTTCTGTATATACACCCAGATATCTGGACTTCTGCATAGATACCCATATATCTGGACTTCTGCATATATAACTATATATCTGGACTTCTGCATATATAACCATATATCTGGACTTCTGCATATATACCCATATATTTGGACTTCTGCATATATACCCATATATCTGGACTTCTGCATATATACCCATATATCTGGACTTACTGCATAAAAAGCGGTTGATGCTATACCCATATATGCATGGACTTCTGTATATATATACCCCATATATCTGGACTTCTGCATAGATACCCATATATCTGGACTTCTGCATATATACCCATATATCTGGACTTCTGCATATATACCCATATATCTGGACTTCTGCATATATACCCATATATCTGGACTTCTGCATATATACCCATATATCTGGACTTCTGCATATATACCCATATATCTGGGCTTCTGCATATATACCCATATATCTGAGATTTCTGGATATATACCAACATATCTGCGGCTTTTGCAATTATACTCACATAAAAGCGGTTGCTGCATATATACCAACATATCTGCGGTTTCTGCATAATGTACCCATATATCTGCGGTTTCTGCATATATACCCACATATCTGCGGTTCTGCATATATACCCACATATCTGCGGTTCTGCATATATACCCACATATCTGCGGTTCTGCATATATACCCACATATCTGCGGTTCTGCATATATACCCACATATCTTCGATTCTGCATATATATCAACATATCTGCGGCTTCTGCAAGCTTCTTAACTAATCTGCTTACTATTCTTTCTTGATTCACTTACCGCACATCATAACTGGAATTATACAGCGTTTAAAAGCGCCATGCATAGTTTGTAGTTGATTTCACAGTTAACTTTCATCTGAGAAATCGAAGTTTGTAGTTAATTTCACAGTAAACTTTCATCTGGCAAATCGCAGTTTGTTGTAGACCTCACAGTTAAATTAAAAGCCGGGGTTAAATTCCAGAGGATCGACGGTATAGCACGGGGTGTTATTGGCTTGGTCTTTCTCCGCAGACCGGCAGACTGCAGATCTAATTGGTAACTTCATCTGGGAAATCGTCTTATAACTGATCTCATAGTTAACTTCATCTAGGAAATCGTTTTGTAACATATTTCCCCGTTAACGTTATCTGGGAAACCAATTTATAGCAGACCCCACCGTTGACTTTTATCTAGGAAGCCAATTTATAGCAGATCTCACAGTTAACTTTTATCTAGGAAACCACTTTATAGTACATCTCATAGTTAACTTCAACAAGGAAATCGGTTTGTATCAGATCTCACAGTTAAGTTCATCTAGGAAATCACTTTAAAGCAGATCTTGCAGTCAACTTCATCTAGGAAATAACTTTATAGCGTATCTCACAGTTAAATTTTATCTAGGAAACCACTTTGTAGTACATCTCATAGTTAACTTCAACAAGGAAATCGGTTTGTATCAGATCTCACAGTTAAGTTCATCTAGGAAATCACTTTAAAGCAGAACTTGCAGTCAAATTCATCTAGGAAATAACTTTATAGCGTGTCTCACAGTTAACTTTTATCTAGGAAACCACTTTGTATCAGATCCCACGGGTAACTTTCATCTAGGTAGGCACTGTGTAGCAGATCTTACAGTTAAGTTCATCTAGGAAATCATTTTATAGCAGATCTCACAGTTAACTTCTATTCAGGAAATCACATCCTATGTGATCTCACCATTACCTCCACCTAAGAAATAACCTTATAGCAAATCTCGCAGTTCAGTTAACATCATCCAGGAAGTCACTTTATAACTGACCTCACAATTAACTTTAATTAGGAAACCACATTATAGCAGTTCTTACAGTTACCTTTTAACTAGGAAATCACTTTCTACCAGATCTCACAGAACTTCAACTATGAAATCATTTTCTAGCAGATCTCACAGTTAACTTTTATCTAGGAATTCACAGTCCAGATGTGCCTAGGACGTTGTTTAAATTATGTGTTTGAAACTATCATTGTATGTGTTCTAGTCCATTCAGCCAGTCACTTCGTACATTATCTGAAAACACAGGTCTGGGGGGTGCTCCTTCTGCTTATTGGCTTTTTCGTGAAGTTCAAATTTGGAACAGTCCTCTCTGACTTGATGGGAGACGTTGACGAAGTCGTCAAGATCAAGTCGGCACAGAACCCCAATGGCCAAACCATTATTCCCATCTCTAGCACTATCGACGATGATGTAAATTTCGGGAAATGGTAAGTTTTCTATACCAGTCTGTGATATGGATAGTCAAACTGTATCATCGGCATTTCGGATCTTTGGTATTTCATAACCACCGATGTTTAGGTCATCATATTGCTCTCTAGTTATATCATCTCTTGATATTTCTGATTATATTTTCGGCGTACAGGTTAAACAAATAAACTGACAGCACACAGCCCTGACGGACTCCTTGCCTGATGTCAAACCAGCCTGATGTCTCACCATCTGTTCTAACCGCTGCTTGTTGTTCTAGATAGAGCATTGTTATGATGTGTACTACATGTGATGGAAAGCCCATATTCCTCATGTTTTCCTAAATTTTCTGATGTTGAACACAGTAAAATGCCCTTGAATAATTCACATTATACGAAAACATATTTACATTAAATTCTCTGGACTTCTCGAATATCAAACGCATGTTGAGGATGTGATCTCTTGTTCCTCTTCCTTGTCTAAAGCCAGCTTGAACCATGTTAATCTCTTCTTCCATTTTCTGATGAAGTCTTCTCATTATGATTTTTAGTAGAATTTTACTTGCATGACTGATCAGAGCAACAGTTTTATAGTTAGTTGCGTATCCTTTACAAGACGTTGCAGAACAAACCCCAACAGCCCCTGGCTGTTGTGTAGTTTTTTTCCTATGCATATTTACGTCCAGTAGTTTGCCATTGCTTTCTGGACAGTCGGCTTTCTTGATACCACTGTCGAAACCAACGCAAGGCGCGTGGCCTGCAGCTGGGATCGAACCCGGCATCCCGGCATTACGAAGCGTTCGCATCGGCTTAACCGATTATTTCCAATTATTTAGCTGTGTGCCATATTTCCATATCTTTTTACATAATGCGTGATAGATTTGTGTGCTTTCTTCCCTTCCCGCTTTAATAAGTTCAGCCGGTAACTCTTCACATTTTGGTGATTGACCATTCTTCAGGTTCTGTATTGCCCATGCAATTTCATCTAACGAGGGTTCAGATTCTGTTTCTGCTGTCATTGGTTCATTACATCATTCATATCATCACAGTCATTCATATCATACACTCTACTTCAGTATTCCTGCCATCGTTCTAGAATCTGTCTAGATTCTGTCAGGGTATTTCCCAACTTGTCACAGATAACATTTAATCGAGGTGGAACATCATATCATGGTTGTTATGGTTTCTTGGCAAGTTTTGCAGAAGGTAGTTTGCTATTGCTTTCCTCCTGGACAGTGACCGTACTAGTCGGTGGCCATAGCCATTCTCTCAACTGATGAGATGTTATAAGATCACGATGATGATATACGATCACGATGGTGATATAGGATGATGATATACGATCACGATGATGATATACGATCACGATGGTGATATAGGATGATGATATACGATTATGATGATGATAAACGATCACGATGATGATATAAAAAGTTAAAGTCGGGAGATATGAACCAGCGTCATTGCACACGGTTATAAACCATAAGTGCTCTGCCACCAGAACGGACACCTGACACACAGAAAAAACTGTCCGCCTGTGTCGCCGTCCGCACGAAATTTCGTAGCTACAACGACATTCCTCCATTTACCCCAGAGTCGAAACTCTGGTACCCATTACCTAGAGGCTGGTTGAACCCCGGCCGTGTGCTGCACCTGGATTTGAAAGTGAGTCTCCTATCGACTGCGCTAACATGGCTCCCTACGATGATGATATAAAATCAGATCACGATTGTGACATAAGATCACTATGATTATATAGATCACGATTGTGACATAAGATCACGATAATGATATAGGTCACGATTATGACAAAAGATCACTACGATGATATAGGTCACAATTGTGACATAAGATCCCGATGATTATATAGGTCACGATCGCGACATAAGATTACGATGATGATATAGGTCACGATTGTGACAAGATCACTATGATGATATAGGTCACGATTGTGACATAAGATCATTAAACTGATATAGTATCAGGATTGTGATAAAGATCATGAAGATGAGATAAGACCACGATGATTATGATACGAGATCGCGAGGATAATGATAAGAGATCACGATGATGATGATGATGACGATACCATGATGGGACTGTTTCTGTTTCTCCCCAGGCCAGGCGTTATTGCTGCCATCGTTATATTGGTGGCCCTGCTGATTATTCTGTTCTCCTCCCTGGGAATATACGGTGGGCTGAAACACAGCAAGTTTATTCTCTATATAGTAAGTAGCACACACAGCATGTTGTGAATACGCGACTTGGATGAGCACACACAGCATGTTGTGAATACGCGACTTGGATGAGCACACACAGCATGTTGTGAATACGCGACTTGGATGAGCACACACAGCATGTTGTGAATACGCGACTTGGATGTTATGCTCATACTGTCTCTTGTGCCTTTCTAACCCGCCCCCAAGGAGCATAGGCCCTCATCTAACTCACGCCAAGTCGTTTTATCCTTCGCTATCGCATGCAGCTCTCGCCATGCCCTCCCCATTTTTTTAACTTGACTCTCTAGCTTCCTTCTCTGTATTTTTTTTTGGGGGGGGGGGGCTTCTTTTTTTTCTATGCTGCTGTGGGTTCCAGCGCAAAGGCGTTCTAGTTGTATTGTTTTCATGTTCTCTTTTTGACTTCTCTTTCCATGGATGAGGTAGTTATCCCCAACCCACGCCCAACCGTTAGTTGCCTCATACGGCATGCATTGTATGGTGCAGTGTTATTATTCTTTGCTTCCCGCGAGGGCCGCGGTAACACCCGAAGTGATTCTATAATCGCGTTTTATTTTAGTAAATGCATGTTTGTAGTTTTTGTGTTAATTAATACATTTTATAGTGACTGGTTTAACAAAAAGGGTTATAACATCATATACCCGAAACGTCAGCATAGCCATACGCTTTCCTGTCGAACCGAAGGTCTTAGGTTCACATCTTTTTGCATTATTATTATACCTGGGCTTTCAAGCTCTAAAATTGTACCAGAAAATATAGAGGGAAAAAAAGGCTTGTAGACAACAAATCAAATGGTTTGGCCATGAAACAACATTTGCAACAGACAGGGTACCACAAAGAGCAGGCATATGCAGATGCAACCCTAACAGAGCCAGGGTCGACAAAGCAGAAAATGGAACGCGAAATTTCTGAGACACTGAAAGGTACTATACACGAATCAAACAAAAGGGCCCGTTCCATAGATGTTTTCCAGCTCTGACGCTGTGAGACGTTCCGGGATTAGAGAAAAAAGAAAGGAGAAGAAAAGTCATGTTTGTAGTGAATATTTTAGCCTGCGTACTGTCACAGGCCCTCAACATCTTTTATTAAAGTATGTGCCAGTGTAACTTTGTCTTTCCCACAGACCATTGTCTTTCTTATAATCGCATCACTTTTCTTTTTTGTCTTTCCCACAGATCATTGTCTTCCTCATAATCGCATTACTTTTCCTTTTTGTCTTTCCCACAGATCATTGTCTTCCTCATAATCGCATCACTTTTCCTTTTTGTCTTTCCCACAGAACATTGTCTTCCTCATAATCGCATCACTTTTCCTTTTTGTCTTTCCCACAGAACATTGTCTTCCTCATAATCGCATCACTTTTCCTTTTTGTCTTTCCCACAGAACATTGTCTTCCTCATAATCGCATCACTTTTCCTTTTTGTCTTTCCCACAGAACATTGTCTTCCTCATAATCGCATCACTTTTCCTTTTTGTTTTTTTCACAGAGCATTGTCTTCCTCATAATCGCATCACTTTTCCTTTTTGTTTTTTTCACAGAGCATTGCCTTCCTCATAATCGCATCACTTTTCCTTTTTGTCCTTCCCACAGAACATTGTCTTCCTCATAATCGCATCACTTTTCCTTTTTGTTTTTTTCACAGAGCATTGTCTTCCTCATAATCGCATCACTTTTCCTTTTTGTTTTTTTCACAGAGCATTGTCTTCCTCATAATCGCATCACTTTTCCTTTTTGTCCTTCCCACAGAACATTGTCTTCCTCATAATCGCATCACTTTTCCTTTTTGTCTTTCCCACAGAACATTGTCTTCCTCATAATCGCATCACTTTTCCTTTTTGTCCTTCCCACAGAACATTGTCTTCCTCATAATCGCATCACTTTTCCTTTTTTTTTTTTTTTTTTTCACAGAGCATTGTCTTCCTCATAATCGCATCAATTTTCCTTGTGTTGTTGGTCACGATCGCTATCGATGGTGGGAATTCAGTAAGTATTTATTTGTTGGTTGACACATTTAGAAGGGTAGACAATATACATTCTGTTGTCATGTGTTAGTTGACTTAGTTAGAAGGGTAGACAATATACATTATGTTGTCATGTGTTAGTTGACTTATTTAGAAGGGTAGACAATATACATTATGTTGTCATGTCATGAAAAGGGAGAACTCAAGTACATCATGATAGTGGGAAAGTTGTATGGAGACAAAGAGACAGATCGTGACCGAGAGAGAAGATACTGAACAGTTTGGCGTTATGATATGAGAGATCCTGTGTGTCAGAAGTGATTGATAGGACACAAGACAGAAGGTGGCGGATACACATGACTACCAACGCCACACGACTTTAGGGAAAAGAAGATTTAGGAAGTCAACTGAAGTAAAGGCTCAGTGATCAATCTTCCGTCTAAGAGCATATTGGATATTTACAGAAAGGACGTTGTCAACCATTGTACGCTTGTGAAGATATCGAGGAGTTCCGTTCCGTTTTCTGTGGGGAGAAATCAAAGGGGACTTTAAGGTTATGTTTGTGACTAGGATATGTGAGCCATATAAAATCGCTTAGTATTGCACTCCACAAAAGCCTTGAAAAGGAGACAGACCCAAGTACCTTCCCAACATGAGACGAACTCGTCTACCGGCGAGCCAATGAGGAGAAGATCGGAGCACCTGTGGATCGTTCTAGATAGAGTTCTATGGCGGTAGTGGTAATTAGCTACTGGAGTTGATACGTTTCGATTTGTTGGGGGTGGGGGGGGGGGGTGATTTGATTGGTTGTTTGGCTGAGGATTGGCTCCTTAATTGGTTGGTGGGATTGTTGGTAAGGTTATATCCTGGTTGATTGGTTTGTTGATTGATTGACTGGCTGGCTGATTGGCTGACTAACCGGTTGGTTGGCTTGGTTGATCGGTTGGTTGACTTGAAACATTAGGAAAGCGAGTAGAATAGGCCAGGAGAGTATCAGAAAAAGAGACTATTTCTAATTGTCCACATCATGTGACGTTGGTAGTCATGTCAATCCACAGCCTTCTGCCTCTTGTATTTTTAGTCATTTCTGACACAGTTTTGTTGTTGCGTTCACCGGCTGTGAGGAGCGGCTGGCCGAACGGCTAGAACGCTGGGCTCCCAAGCGGGAAACCCGGGTTCGAATCCTCGGTAAGGCTGGGGATTTTTTTCTGTCGAGAGCAAAATAAAATCCTCACCTGCACAGTCGTGGCGACAAAGACCCCGCGCTCCCCCCCCCCGCCCCCCAATCCTGCCTATACCGCAATAGTGGTATATAAAGACACTAATTGGCAGTAGGCCCTTATTAGTTATTTATTCTATTCGTCCTTTTTAGGATGAAATTTTTCGTTATTTGAAGCCCTACTCTGGCTTTTGTCAGGGGCCGCAATATAGCCTGGTCATAAATATGGCCTAACAACTGAACGCGGTTTCTGGGACCTCTCCACGGCGATCCTCACCCACACGGTGGCACATTGTGTCATTGGGTGTTTATCGCTTGTGTGATGTCCTGGTGGGGTAGAAAGTCAGTCACTCAGTCAGTCAGTCAGTTGGCCCTTCACCGGCTGTAGACTTCGGTGGAAAGTTCTGGTTATCCATACATTTCTGGTCTTTGCTTTTCGCTCCATGACTTGAGTTTTGCGCCCACATCCGTTTTACAGACCTATGCAGTCTGTCGTTTCCATGTCTATCAGGCAGTAAGCACTTCAACTTCAAAGAAAACGTAGATTATGTCTCTAGAATGACTTATCATAAACATCTGAAAGAGCTAGTCAACACTGTGTGGTAATGTCAGGAAAAGGGTGGAAACTGGAATACGTGATGACCATCGGGAAAGATAAACAGGGAAGGACAGAGGAATACGTGATGACCATCGGGAAAGATAAACAGGGAAGGACAGGGGAATACGTGATGACCATCGGGAAAGAGAAACAGGAAAGGACAGGGAAATACGTGATGACCATCGGGAAAGATAAACAGGGAAGGACAGGGAATACGTGATGACCATCGGGAAAGAGAAACAGGAAGGACAGGGGAATACGTGATGACAATCGGGAAAGAGAAACAGGGAAGGACAGGGGAATACGTGATGACCATCGGGAAAGAGAAACAGGAAAGGACAGGGGAATACGTGATGACCATCGGGAAAGAGAAACAGGAAAGGACAGGGAATACGTGATGACCATCGGGAAAGAGAAACAGGGAAGGACAGGGGAATACGTGATGACCATCGGGAAAGAGAAACAGGAAAGGACAGGGGAATACGTGATGACCATCGGGAAAGAGAAACAGGAAAGGACAGGGGAATACGTGATGACCATCGGGAAAGATAAACAGGGAAGGACAGGGGAATACGTGATGACCATCGGGAAAGATAAACAGGGAAGGACAGGGTAAGAAGATTCTTGACAGTATTTTGTCATGGCGTGAAGGTGTGTCAACACAGGAACTGATACATGCAGTTGCGGATTGTGCATAGACATGATCGCCCACGCCAGTCGGTCAGGTATTTGATGATAATCTTCTGCATCTTGCTAAAGGACACGTTTATTTGCTGCTTTGGTGAGGGTCAAATTGTGTGCTACTGTATATGATATTGTAAGTACTTACAATAGCATATATGTAAGTACGGACTTTATGGTAAGCAAATATGTAGGTATAGACTTGATCTTCAACACATTTGTAAGTACAGACTTGATCTTCAACACATATGTAAGTATAGACTTGATCTTCAACACATTTGTAAGTATAGACTTTACGGTAAGAACATATATAATTTTAGTTTAGTTTAGACGATGGATCAGTATCATGGCACAAGGGTGGTAACCCGTGCTACTTCTGAATAAACTCTGAGTCTAGATTCTCAGTGCAGTGCACAAACTCCGTAGCACCGGCAAGGATCCTGAAATACTTTGGTACATTTTCAACTCAAAAAGTTTGCCTGGGCAGCGCGTTAGGCTACTCTTTTCCATTTTCAACTGCCAACGGATATTTTACGTGTGCAACAGTACATACGGGCATCTGATCTTACTACCCAGGGGAAATTACTAGAAATCCACGTGAAAAAATCCCAACCTTCACCGGGGCTTAAACCAGGGACCTCGAGCACTCTAAGCGGATGCCATATTTCGAGATCATGCAGTCTCCACAGAACATACAAACATATATATAAGAACATATATAAAGTATAGCCTCAATGGTTAGCACATATGTAGGTATAGACTGTATGGTCCATAAAGAGAAGGCCATGTTTACGCATTTTCAACCCACAGAGCAGATAATGCTATACATATGTATTATAGACCATTAGTCACTCGAAGGGCGATGTGCTCAACAATACGCCAGCCGTCTTTATTTCTCAGAGCATTATCTGGTATCACATTTTAGACTGGGTCAGTTTCGGAAAAAACAAACAAATTCATCTTGATGTCGGGTTTGAATCCTAGACCATTATAACGACGGACTTTCAGGGCTAGTCTAGCCGCTACGTTACCGCGGCTAGCAGAGGAGTTCGTCAATCGGTTACCTTACGGGGAACCAACAGTGGAAAAGCGTCTAGCCGCTGCCTTACCAGGGACCACTAGGAGAGAGCGTCTGGCCGCTACGTTACCGTGGACCACCAGGGGATAGGGTCTAGTCGCTACCTTACGGTGGACCACCAGGGGAGAGCGTCTAGCTGCTTTCTTACCGCAGACCACCAGGGGATAGGGTCTAGTCGCTACCTTACAGCGGTACCATTTGATTTTGCATGTGTTTAAAAGTATAATGGTAAATAACAGCTGTCTTCTGTAATAACAGTTCCACGAAGATGCCAAAAACGAAGTTGCCCAACTTGTGAAATCAAAGTACAAAATCGAGACCTCAGATGATGCTTTTATTATGGCTATGAACCGCATTATGATTTGGGTAAGTGGAGATAACATAACAGCATATTTGATCGTGCATCATCCCATAACATTGCTGCTGGGTGTCGTTGGGTCACCAGTTACCGTTGACTTGTCTGATCAGCTGCCTCCACCTTTGACGGCCAGATGCAATGAACTTCATGGCTGTATGCATCAGGCCTATACAGTCATTCAGTTTCTGAATCCAGGTCTTTTTTGGTCTACCTCTTTTCTACTTCTCTATTGAGCCCTGTAATTTTTTTTTTGAGAGGATTTTTGATCTTATTACATGCCCGTACCATTGCTTTTCTATTGTTCATTGCAGTTAAAAGATGTTTGTATTTGTTCATGTGCTAGGTAATTATACGGCGAAGCTGGTCATTTGATGGCAAACACCACAGCGCTTGCTGGTTCTACTTACATAAAACATGTTTCTGAACTCCTTATACCACACCCAGCTGTAACACTAACCAGCAGCGCCCTAGTTTGTTACTTGAACTCTGCTGTTCCCAGTTGCTCAAGACCTCGGCACCTTAAGGTGTCTCTGGGTATGGTTAGAGAGGAGAGGGGGGGGGGGAGTGAAATAGTGCCTCAGAGACAATGTGTCTCTGGGTGAAGTTAGAGAGCGGGAGAGTGTGCTGTTCCCAGTTGCTCAAGACCTAGGCACCTTAAGGTGTCTCTGGGTATGGTTAGAGAGGAGAGGGGGGGGGGGGGAGTGAAATAGTGCCTCAGAGACAATGTGTCTCTGGGTGAAGTTAGAGAGCGGGAGAGTGTGCTGTTCACAGTTGCTCAAGACCTAGGCACCTTAAGGTGTCTCTGGGTATGGTTAGAGAGGAGAGGGGGGAAGTGAAATAGTGCCTCAGAGACAATGTGTCTCTGGGTGAAGTTAGAGAGCGGGAGAGTGTGCTGTTCCCAGTTGCTCAAGACATAGGCACCTTAAGGTGTCTCTGGGTATGGTTAGAGAGGAGAGGGGGGAAGTGAAATAGTGCCACAGAGACAATGTGTCTCTGGGTGAAGTTAGAGAGCGGGAGGGTGTGCTGTTCCCAGTTGCTCAAGACCTCGGCACCTTAAGGTGTCTCTGGGTATGGTTAGAGAGGAGAGGGGGGGGGGGAGTGAAATAGTGCCTCAGAGACAATGTGTCTCTGGGTGAAGTTAGAGAGAGGGAGAGTGTGCTGTTCCCAGTTACTCAAGACCTCGGCACCCGTTTTTTTTTTTTCCTAAGGACTGAGACATTCCCATGACATTTTTTTTTTTTTTTCTTTCATAAATATTTCACCAGTACTGATAAAAACACTTTTTATACGTTTTTTTTTTTTTTTTTAAGTTGCCTATCCTTTACTGGACGTTGTAGAAGCAATCCTAGCATTTTTATGGCTGTTGTTGTTTTTCAAGGCAAACTTTACTCTCAGTAGTTTGCCATTGCTTAAACGGTCATTTCTTGGTACCAATGTCAAAACTAACGTTTTGACATTTACCAATGTCAAAACTAACGTTTTGACATTGGTACCGTCTACAGCTGGAATCGAGTACCGCATTACGAAGTGCTTTCGTAACGCCTAAGCCACGGGCGTTTTGGGGTGTGCCAGCACCTTTTTAAAGCCACTTTTTAATGAGTACCGGCACCTTCCTTTCTAGGGAGTAAGAAGCCATGGACGGACCCCATACTTTGTAATATAGGTTGGTGTTGCGTATCCTTTACAGGACGTTGCAGAACCAACCCTAACAGCCCTTGGCTGTTGTGTGGTTTCTCTATGCAAATTTACGTCCAGTAGTTTGCCATTGCTTTCTGGGCAGTCGGCTTTCTTGATACCACTGTCGAAACCAACGCAAGGCGCATTGCCCGCAGCTGGGATCGAACCCGGCATCCCGGCATTACGAAGCGAAGTGTTCGCATCGACTTAGCCACAGAGCCGACACTTTGTAATATATGTACTGAAAAACTTTGAATTAAAAAGACAAGTCTAAGTCTGTGTGGTGTTCTTGTCTGGCAACTCCCTTTTTTACCCAAAGTTCTTGCAGTATTTTGAATGTTGCCGACACCACCTTAATCATCTACTCGCCCTGCCTCTCTGAGAGAACTGAGAGTTGCTCTGCCTCTCTGAGAGAACTGAGAGTTGCTCTGCCTCTCTGAGAGAACTGAGAGTTGCTCTGCCTCTCTGAGAGAACTGAGAGTTGCTCTGCCTCTCTGAGAGCTATGAGAATATCGGTTTCGTCCACGGCTTTTCCTGTACCCAACGTGGCCATGTCATCAAGCCACTCTGCTCATTTTTTCCCCCTTTTACCCCAGAGTGACCTGGCACAAAAATGAAAATTCGCATGTCTCCCATGACCAAAAAAAAAAAAAAGAAAGTAAAAGGTAAAGTCGAGAGACGTGAACGGTTGAAATTGAGGGGGAACACTCCCTGCCTCCTAACGATTGACTGACATCTTTCAGTCTTTCCAGACAATAGTGTTATATTGCGCTATGAGGAAACTTGGGACTCACAGCCCATGGCGATGGCGAGTGTGACTAGCAAGACCCGGCCACGTTAAAAAAAAAAAAGGCTTTCACAATTATAGCAAGGGATTTCAGGACCGTTGTTGTCAACATTTGTGTTTAGCCTTTCTCTTATCAGAAGCTTAGCTCTCATTCTTTATGCAGTCAGTTCCTACTTCATTCTCATTCCTTTCCTGATGTGCTTCCTCCACCCCACATGTGTCTGCTATTTTGTTCCCACGAGTTCACCTCAATATCTGTATCATTCTGGGCAGTGGCAAGCTACTGAACGTGAAATGTAGCTAGATAAACCACAATGGCTAAAAATGCTGGGGTTCCGGTTTATCCGGCGGATCAAAATTATGGCACCAGGGTAGTAACCCAAAAGTGCTCCGTTGTACCTCTGACTCAAGCTTGAGTCCAAAAATCTCAGCCCAGTGCACGAACTCCATAGCACCGGCAAGGATCTCGAAATACTTTAGGTAGATTAACTCAACATTTTGCCCGGCTACACTTTTTTCGATTTCCAACTGCAAAAAGGGATTTCTTAACGTTCGCAACAATAGACACGGGCATCAATACACACGGGCAACAATACACACGGGCAACAATACACACGGGCATCAATACACACGGGCATCAATACACACGGACAACAATACACACGGACAACAATACACACGGACAACAATACACACGGGCATTAACATAAACGGGCAACAATACACACGTACAACAATACACACGGACAACAATACACACGGGAATTAACATAAACGGGCAACAATATAAACAGGCAACAATACACACGGGCAACAATAGACGAGGGCGTCAAAATAAACGGGCAACAATATAAACGGGCAACAATACACACGGGAAACAATACACACGAGCAACAATAAACACGGGCAACAATACACATGGGCAATAATACACACGGGCAAGAATACACACGAACAACAATACACACGGACAATAGTACACACACGGGCAACAATTCACACAGACAACAATACACACGGGCAACAATATACACAGCAACAATACACACGGGCAACAATTAACACAGGCAACAGTACACACAGGCAACAATACACAGGGGCAACAATTCACACAGGCAGCAATACACACAGGCAACAATACACACGGCCAACAATACACACGGACAACAATCACACGGGCAAGAATACACACGGGCAACAATACACACGGGCAACAATACGCACGGGCAACAATAGGCAGGAGCAACAATACACACGGGCAACAATACAAACAGTGTTAGCTCTGCAACTTCTTGCAAAGGATACTCAGCTAACTGTTATTCTTCTTCCTGGGCAGTTTGCATGTTGTGGCGCTAAAAGCTATGACGAATTTAGCAATCTGACATTTTCGGAACAAAATGAGGCCAACATCCCAGCGAACGTCGTGTTTAAGGTGAGTCATAAGGTGTCTCTAGGTGAGGCTAGAGAGGTGGGAGAGTGAATGAGTGCCACATAGATAAGTTGTCTCTGAGTGAGGTTAGATATGGGGAGAGAGTGAATGAGTGCCACAGAGATAAGTTGTCTCTGAGTGAGGTTAGATATGGGGAGAGAGTGAATGAGTGCCACAGAGATAAGTTGTCTCTGAGTGAGGTTAGATATGGGGAGAGAGTGAATGAGTGCCACAGAGATAAGTTGTCTCTGGGTGAGGTTAGATATGGGGAGAGAGTGAATGAGTGCCACAGAGATAAGTTGTCTCTGGCTGAGGTTAGATATGGGGAGAGAGTGAATGAGTGCCACAGAGATAAGTTGTCTCTGAGTGAGGTTAGATATGGGGAGAGAGTGAATGAGTGCCACAGAGATAAGTTGTCTCTGAGTGAGGTTAGATATGGGGAGAGAGTGAATGAGTGCCACAGAGATACGTTGTCTCTAAGTGAGGTTAGATATGGGGAGAGAGTGAATGAGTGCCACAGAGATAAGTTGTCTCTGAGTGAGGCTAGATATGGGGAGAGAGTGAATGAGTGCCACAGAGATAAGTTGTCTCTGGGTGAGGTTAGATATGGGGAGAGAGTGAATGAGTGCCACAGAGATAAGTTGTCTCTGGGTGAGGTTAGATCTGGGGAGAGAGTGAATGAGTGCCACAGAGATAAGTTGTCTCTGAATGAGGTTAGATCTGGGGAGAGAGTGAATGAGTGCCACATAGATAAGTTGTCTCTGAGTGAGGTTAGATATGGGGAGAGAGTGAATGAGTGCCACATAGATAAGTTGTCTCTGAGTGAGGTTAGATATGGGGAGAGAGTGAATGAGTGCCACAGAGATAAGTTGTCTCTGAGTGAGGTTAGATATGGGGAGAGAGTAAATGAGTGCCACAGAGATAAGTTGTCTCTGAGTGAGGTTAGATATGGGGAGAGAGTGAATAAGTGCCACAGAGATAAGTTTTCTCTGAGTGAGGTTAGATATGGGGAGAGAGTGAATGAGTGCCACAGAGATAAGTTGTCTCTGAGTGGGGTTAGATATGGGGAGAGAGTGAATGAGTGCCACAGAGATAAGTTGTCTCTGAGTGAGGTTAGATATGGGGAGAGAGTGAATGAGTGTCACAGAGATAAGATGTCATTGAGTGAGGTCAGAGAGGGGGAGAGTGAATGAGTGCCACAGAGATAAGTTGTCTTTGAGTGAGGTTAGAGAGGGAAAGAGAGTGTATAAGTACCACAGAGATAATGTGTCTTTGAGTGAGGTTAGAGAGGGGAAGAGAGTGTATAAGTGCCACAGAGATAAGGTGTCTTTGAGTGAGGTTAGAGACGGGAAGAGAGTGTAAAAGTGCCACAGAGATAAGGTGTCTTTGAGTGAGGTTAGAGAGAGGAAGAGAGTGTATAAGTGCCACAGTGATAAGGTGTCTTTGAGTGAGGTTAGAGAGGGGAAGAGAGTGTATATGTACCACAGAGATAAGGTGTCTCTGATTGACGCTAGAGAGATGGGAGAGTGAATGAGTGCCACAATGATCATGTGTCTCTGGGTGAGGTTAGAGAGGGGGAGGGAGTGAATGAGTGATGCAGAGATAAGGTGTCTCTGAGTGAGGCTAGAGGGGGGAAAGAGGGAATAAGTGCCTCATTAAAAATGTGTCTCTGGGTGAGGTTAGAGAGGAGGAGAGAGTGAATGAGCGCCATAGAGATAAGTGCCTCTGTGTGAGGTTATAGAAAGGGGAGAGTGAATGAGTGCCACAGAGATAAGGTTTGTCTGAGTGAGGTTAGAGAGTGGGAGAGAGTGAATGAGTGCTGCAGAGATAAGGTGTCTCTGGGTGAGGTTAAAGAGTTGAAGAGAGTGAATGAGTGCCACAGAAATAAAGTGTCTCTGAGTGAGGTTAAAGAGTGGGAGAGAGTGAACGAGCGCCACAGAAATAAGTTGTCTCTGGGTGAGGTTAAAGAGTGGGAGAGAGTGAATGAGTGTTGCAGAGATGAGATGTCTCTGAGTGAGGTTAAAGAGTGGGAGAGAGTGAATGAGTGCTGCATAGATAAGGTGTCTTTGAGTGAGGTTAAAGAATGGGAGAGAGTGAATGAGTGCTGCAGAGATAAGGTGTCTCCGAGTGAGGTTAAAGAGTGGGAGAGAGTGAATGAGTGCTGCAAAGATAAGGTGTCTCTGAGTGCGGTTAAAGAGTGGGAGAGAATGAATGTGTGCTGCAGAGGTGTGGGGTTTCTCTAAGTGAGGTTAAAAGAGGTTGTAGAGAGTGAATGAGTGCTGCAGAGATAGGGTGTCTCTGGGTCAGAGAGATGAGGGAGAGTGAAAAAGTGACTCAGAGAATTTAGGTGATCGTGTGAAGGGACTCAAAGAACGAGAAAGGGCTGAGGGGGGGGGGGGGGTGAATGTCTTTTTCACTCTTCACCATAATTGTAATTCTTATTTTAAATTGTTTTATTTTGTCTCATCTCCGTCATTACAATAATCTTTCTATTTGAAACATCCCCCACGCCGTCTCTCCCAAACCACTTTATTTGTCTTACCTCTTCAATATTTTCATATCATTTCCCTTTTAGCACTGCGTCCTATTGTTCCACGCCCTTGCTATAATTGATTATTTATGTTTTGGCTTTCTGTGCCCCATTTAGGGGGGGGGGGGTTTGAGTCCCTCCTGCCCCTTGACAAACATGTCGTTAAAGAGAATAATTAGCTGTTTTTGAAATCGGATATGTTAGGGCTTACAATCCAGCTGTAAACCATAGTATAACGTGCCAATCTTTTTTTTTTTTTTAGTGTACGCTAAAGAAAAAGAAGAAGAACAGTAGACATGGAATTTAAGGAACACACAATTTCATGGGATGCCACAAGCAGAAAGGCAAAAGGCAGGGCCAATGGAGAATACCTGTGGATGCCTTGTATATTAGCAGCGTCATAAATTGGAGGATCTAGATAGATTAACAATGGTGTCTCATCCAGGCATGTTTAAGGGACGACAAGGGCGCATCGGGAAAGTGATGCTATATATCTTCGTAATGCCAGGGTTCCGGGTTCACTTCGAGCTACAGGCGATTTGTCAGCATATCGTCTTGCGTTGTAGCATGGAATTTGAGGACCATTGTTGTCAGCGTTGTGTTTAGTCTGTCTCTTCTCAGACACTCAGCTCTCATCCTTTCTGCACTCATTTCATCCTTTATTAACATTTCCTTCCCGATGTGCTCCCTCCACACAACATGGTCCGTGGCGTTTTGTTCCCACGAGTCCACTTTAACACCTGTATCATTCATGTCCTGCTTCAACACATCTTTATATCGTAGTAGAGGTCGGCCTCGACGTCTTCTTCCCATCTTTCATCATCATCAGTTCTGGTTATGCCTAGTGGCACATGAGGCTTCAGAGAGGACTTTCCATGCTTTCCTGTCCTGTGCAATCTTCAGTGCAGCTTTCCATGTCAAAGATGCCACACTCAGGTCACTTTCCATCGTTCGTCTCCATGTTGTTTTTGGGCGCCCCTGTTTTCTCTTTCCCTCTGGTGTCCATATGAGAGCTGTTTTGGCAGGTATATCAGGATTCATTCTCATAACGAGGCCAAGCCATTTCCATGTTCTCTTGGTTATTCTTCCCATCTTTAGTCCACCATAAAAGATGATATTGGGGACTTTGCCATCCACCTTTCTTTAGGTGTGACCAGCCATATATATATATATATATATATATATATATATATATATATAATATATGTGTGTGTGTGTGTGTGTGTGTGTGTGTGTGTGTGTGTGTGTGTGGGGCGCGCTGCGTGAATTTTTAATCATGGTGTGGGGCGTCGCAGGTCAACCCAGTCTAAAATGGGTACCAGAATGTATGTCCTGGGAAAGCAAAGACGGCCGGCAAAATATACTAAACACATTACCCACCTAGTGCCGATTGGTCTGTAAAAATATGGGTGCTCTTCCTATATTCCCGATGCGCCTGAGATGTAAAATGGATCTTTACTTTTACTTACTATATATATATATATATATATATATATATATATATATATATATATATATATATATATATATATATATATATAGTCATTTTCGCGATGAGCATTTGACGTCAAAAGAGTTGTGTATCTTTAAAACAGGAGACACTACTATAAATCTATCTGTATCCTTCTATTCGTGTTTCCATAGCGAGGCGCACACGCCATTTGGAGATGACAACTTTGTTGCTGCGTTTGTTATTCGACAGTTAATATAAATGTATGTAACATTGGTACAAATTCAATGGATTGAGATGAATCCTATCCGTATTCCATAGTTGTGGATTTTAAGCTATACGATAGACATGGCCAGGGAGGAACCCTTTTTAGGGGTGCCTATTTGGTCATTTTCTTAGTACACTTGTTTCCATAGTGAGGCGCACACGCCATTTAGAGGTGACATGCTCGATTCCCGGCGAGTTACTATAGTATTTGATTTTTATGTATAACCCTTGACCCGTTAGGGTGTAAAGGTGTATTGACGAAAGCACTAGCACGTAAAACTCACGCTTGGTGAATAAGTGAGTGTGTGATAACTTAGGTCTCTTTCGTAATAAGTCACCCCCAGATGACGTCGCAGCGACAGTCCAATATTGTAAGACCGGGTTTCCCGGCTTTGTGGTGCTTTTAACTACTACGACTGCTTGCAGCCTATCTACCACCCCCTGAAATATTGGGCTGTCTGTTTGTGGTGACTTATTAGGAAAGCACCTAACTTACTGCAGTTCATTTCTTGATGATGTCATTCCAGATCTTCTTCTCCCCCCCCCCCCCCCCCCCCCCCCGCATCCCCTTCCCCGGCCACCACCCTCCCCTCCCCGAAGTTACTTGAGGCAGTCTTTGCAATTGAATCATGTCTCAAGACGTGCCCAAACCAAGCTAGCTTGCGACGTTTCACCACTGCCAAGAGAGGCTCCTGATGTCCTGCAAATTTTGTGTATATTTTCTCTGATATATGTATTAGTTTTGTATTCTAAATAACAGATTCATAAAATGCGTCTGTTGCATTTATATTCGAAAACCTGAATTCTCCTGTCCATTTCCACAGTGGGAGTCCAACTCTCACATCCCTATAAGAAAATAGCCAGTACCAATGATATGTAAATATTGACCTTAACTGCGACGCTGATTTGGCTCTTCCACGTCGCATTCATGCCATATCACGTCTTGTCCTGATCTCTTTGGTAGAGCTGTAATCGTTACGTTTGTGGGAGCAAAGATATATAAAGGTTTCACCTTCTAGTTTGTTTTTTTTTTAAATCTGTATGTTAATAGGTACTTTATTATTGTGACTGTTTACCAGAATCTTGCATTTTCGGCATTAATTTCCATGCCATATTCACCACATACTGAGTAGTTTTTATATATATATATATATATATATATATATATATATATATATATATATATATATATATATGTATGTATAAAGAGAGAAAGAGAGTATCAGCCAATAAGCACTCGATGGACGATTTGTTCAACATCACGCCGGCCGTCTTTACTTCCCAGACATTATCTGCTACCACTTTTGGACTGGATCGACTAAGAAGCCAAGGACAGTTAAAAGAAATTCGACTTAATGCAGTTTGGACCTGGATGTTTGATTCGGGAGTAATTCCATTCAGAAAATATGTGACGGTCTTATTATGTGTATTTTGAAATAGCACTGTCACGTGCAATATATTGCACAATTTATTACACGACATTTTTGGTTGCGTCTCTCAGGTTAATTACTGCAGCATTTACATCGCAATATAACATATTTTAAAAAATGAATCATTTGAGCTGAAATATATCAATCATTTGTTTCTCTTCGTTACACTGTACCTCTTAGTGGAAGTCTATGATTAATCACTTGATTCGTGTGTCTAAAAGAGGTGAGATTGCTAATCCTAATTGTCTCAGTTTTCTATTCCTAATTGCCACTTCTTCTTCTTCTTCTTCTTCTGCCTTTCTATCCCCCAGTGGAGCATAGGCCCTCAACCAACTCACGCCAAGTCGTTCTATCCTTCGCCATTGCCTGTAGCTCTCCCCATGTCCTCCCCATCTTTCTAACTTCATTCTCCACCTCTCTTCTCCATATGTTGTATTGCCTTCCTTTATGCCCATGCCCCTGTGGGTTCCAATGCAAAGACATTCTAGTTTTGCTGTTCTCCTGTTTTCTCAGTGTGTGTCCTATCCAACGCCAGCGTCTTTTCCTCGCCTCTTGGTCCACTGGAGCTTGTTTAGTTCTCTCCCAAAGCTAATTGTCACTGCTGCCGAGAATTTCAGTAATTGTTCCTTGTTTTACACAATTGTCTTTCTCCTGCATGCCGTATCGGAAACTATTCGGTTCATAAAGCATTAGGTGATTGTATCATCATCATTATCGTCCTTTTGGGTTCACTATCAAGTCGTACATTCAGCTCTATCATGGATAACCTTGTCACTATAAGGAATGGCATCTAATCCATGACCTCTGGCTTCTCCCAACATCCCCAGTTTTAGGCTTTCTTTTGGATGTCCCCGTATCCTCCGTCTATTTATTTCTCATTTCAGTGCCTTATTAGTGATTTTCTGTCCGTTTCTGCTCATTGTGCACTAAGTATACTGTCGTCTTCTTTTTCTCTCATAACTTTTGCTACCAACGAATTGAGATAATGACAATTGTTTTGTAACATGTTGTTTAGGTGTCGCCCGCCTGTTGTATTCGAGAGTTCTACAAAGAACAAGCATCCGGTGTTACACCGTTCCAAAAGCTCAAGGAATGCGCAGTGAAAGGCCCTGACGTCAAACGGAACCTTAATTTAAAGGTTTGCATGTTGTCTCTTTTTGTCCATTTTAAATTATTTATTGTTGTTTACAGAACGTCGCTCTCATCACGGCACGCGGTCACTTGGTCCCTTTAACCACTGTTCTGTTTCGCTTCCTGTCAAAGG